CTCAGCAATGTGCTGCCACATGGGCCCTTGTCTGTCAGGTCAGGGAGGAGGTAACATGGGAAGGTGCTGCCTGACCATCCTCTGAGATCAGCATCAGGCCACTGCTGTCTGCTGCTAGCCTAGGCCTTGACCTTCCCGAGTTCAGGAACTCCCCCACACATCGGAGACTTTGGGTGATGCAGGCAGTGGTAGGTGGCTGACAGACTGGAGAGATGAGTGCTGATCTTGCCTATGTCAAAGCTCCCCTTGGGTTCTCCCTGCTGTCCATGGTGTCTGAACTGATCTGCTGACCTAAGAGGAAGGCTGAGAGCCACACAGGCTGCCTCTTCTTGCGTATGGTCACAGCAGTCAGCTGTGCCAATCTGCCCTGTCTTGCCTTTGGCACTGAAACTTGCTCATAAACCTGGGCCCAGCCAATGGTTGGTGGCTCTTGCTGTCCACTTTGTCCCTAGCTCTACCCCAGCCTCATTTCAGTGTCCCAGCTAGAGTAGAGTGTCTGCCTGCCCACATCCTTGTGTGCCCATATACTTGTGAATGTGTGTCTACCTGTGCATGGAGGGTACAGACGATGAGAACTGCATGTGTAATGTGACTGAGTTGGTCCTGACACTGTGCCCCAGTCACCTCGCCTACCTGAGCCTGCCAGAGAATGCAGCCATTGCTGATTCTGAGGCAAAGGCATGGCCAGAAAGCCTTCTTCTGAAGGAACCTGGGCAGACACAGATGCAGTTAAGAGTAGGGCGCTGGGTGGAGGGCTGGTCTTGGGGTGGGGCAGACACTGGAACTTATGTACAGGACCTCCCTGGTCAGCACATCTATCTTCCATTACAGCAGCCCCAGAAGGGCTGCCCTTCCTTCCCTCAGCTGAGCTACCCTGAGGCTGAGGAGCAGATGGCCTGGGGTGCCGCAGGTCAATCTCTGAGGGCTCGGCCAGCCAATGCCCCCTCTAGAGGTCACCATATGACCTTGGGCCACCTCTCAACCTCTTCATCCTGACTTATGGCCCATTCAGGGCAGCAGCTGACTGTCCCACAGGCAGGGGGTGGCAGGGCCATTCCATGGATGGAATGAGCTGGTTGGCGTGAGATGTGGGTCTTCCCTAGAGCAGCTTTTGTGAAGTCTGTACACCAGAAAACCCATGTCCCCTGGGTAATGGAGTGTCTCAGTAACCCGAGGGTCATATGAGGACCCGGGCACTGGCTGAGGCCCAGGGCTTTTTCTAGAAAGTTGACAGGAAGGAGAGGGATGTGGAGGGAGAAGGGAGGGTGGGAAAGGATGGAGAGGGAAGGGTCCTGACCAAGGGGTCTCCTGGTGGCACCCAAGAGGGAAGTGCTGAGCCCCCCAGTGGGCTGTCCACTCCTATGTCACCCCAAGTCTTGCTGAGACTTGGAGGTCTCCATTACTCTGGCTGTCCTTGGGGTCCTGCAGCAGCACCAGATGTGCTTTCTGCAAAGGGGACCTTTTTCAAAGTGGAAAGGGTAGGTGTCCCTGTGGAGGTGGGGGAGGAAGGTCTCTTCAGGGGGAGGGGGTGGGGCATAGGGATAGGGACGGGGTCTGCCCACAAGGAAAGGGAGGAGACTTGCTAAGGATTGGGGATAGGGCAGGGTTTCGGCTGGTCATTGGGAGAGTGTGGCACTGAAGGGTGTGGGTGGCCTCCTGCGGTGCTTAGGACCTGTGAGACCCAGGCGCTGAGTGTGGGAATGAGGCCTGGTGGTCACAATGAACAAAAGCCACAGTCTGGGGGCTGTTTCCTGTCCTACAGCCGTTTATGCACCGATTGGTCGTCAGATCAAGGAAAGATAATGGTCTCTCATCTCACGGGGTAGGGCAGTGCCTGTGTCCATCATCCACTGCAGGCTGATCTTGGCCTGCTGGGAGCCCAGCGGTGCCCTCTCTTCCACAAAGTCTGCACTGGTGTGTGTGCGTGCTGCCTGCACTGGGTGTGTGTGCATGCTTCCTGCATGGGGGTGCGTGTGCTCCCTGCACTGGGGTATGTGTGTGTGTGTG